GAAACCCAATAAGATAATGTGCCAAATGGCCTTTAAACCCCAACTGGTGGAGCTTGAAAATTAGTGCAGGTTTAAAGACCATGTCGTAGGCTCGGCTAATATCCAAGAATACAGCAGTTGTGTTGTGTCGATGTTTATAGGAACGTCTGATGTCAGTTTCAAGTCTGATGACATGGTCTATTGTGCTACGATTGTGTCGGAAACCACATTGATTTTTTGTAAGCAGGCAGTCTCGTTCTACAATCCAAGAGATTCGCTTCACCACCATCCGCTCAAAAAGTTTTCCTAGACAGCTGGTAAGTGCAATGGGACGATAATTTGATGGATCTTTGGTGTCTTTTCCTGGCTTTGCAAGTGGAATAATGATGGTGTCTTTCCAGGCGTCAGGAAAGACATGGGTTGACCACAAATCGTTAAAAACTGCCAATATAAAACGAAGCATATCTTCTGAAAGATTACGAAAAAAAGAATAGTGTAACTGATCATGACCAACTGAGGTGTTGCCGGCGGATTTTATAGCCTTTTGTAGTTCCAGAAATGAAAATGGTAAATTATAGTCTTCGGTGTTATCGGAAACAAAACAATCAGCATGTAAACGAAAACGGGCTTGCGCAGTTTCCACAAATCCTGGTCGGTAATTTCCGGATGAGCTACAGTGAGAAAGACTTTCAGCAAGAGCATTGGTGATAAGAGGTGTTGCCGAAATGATTTGGTTATTAATGCGTAAAGTGGGCAATGAAATAGAGGTGCGTTTTCCGGAAAGTGCTCGAACCAGTCCCCATAGCTGGCTTAGGGGAGTAGCAGCAGTGAACTGCTGGATGTATGCTTGCCAAGAATGACGTTTGGCACTCCTTATAATTCGTCTGGTTCGAGCACGCTCATAATTTCGGGCAAGAAGATGAGGTATATCATGGTGGCGACGAAAGCAGCGGAAAGCACGTTTCCGACGCGCAATAGCGTTCTTAACTTCGGTCGTCCACCATGGTACTGGGATGCGGCGTGATGGCGTTTTAGTTAGTGGAATTGTCGCGGTTGCTGCAGCATGAATAATATGTGTAATAAGGCCAACACCCTGCTCTGGTGATTCATAACAGTCACGGTTCACATAACAAAGTTCTTGAAATTTGGCCCAGTCTGCTTTTCGTAAATTCCAGCGGGGTATGGATCGCAAAACTTCGTCAGCGGTTGCGTCAAAAGTAGTGTAAAGTTTAATTGGAAAATGGTCGCTGTCGTGTATATCTCCCTCAACAGTCCAATCAAAGTACGTTGCTATTGAGGGAGAGCACAGCGACAGGTCGATGGCTGTTTCTGTACCAGTGGGTAAGTGGTGATAAGTATTATTGCCTTTGTTTAACAGGACTAAGTTGTGTGTATCAATAAAATCTTCAACCAAATGTCCTCGGCGATTAACGGCTTGGGTTGCCGTTACTCCAAGCTGGACTGTGAGCGTTGAGATCGCCAAGGATGAGAAAAGGGTTTTGAAATTGAGCAACGAGTTGGTCAAGTTGCCGTAAGAGCTCCGTATTATTATAATTTGGTGTAATGTATATTGAGCATATATCGATGGTACGGCCATGCAGTCGAACTGAACTTGCAACAGCCTGAAGAGGTGTGTTAAGAGTGAGTGGCGTGTGTGTTAATTTTTGACTGATGTACAGCGCCACCCCACCTTGGCGACGCTCACCGTCCATCGTGTCATAGCGATATAACGAGTAATTTGGCATTTTAAAGTTATATGTGTCGGTGGGACGAAACCATGTTTCCTGTACGGCAATGATGATTGGAGTTAGTACGGCAAAAAGTGCTTTCATTTCGGACCATTTTGAAATGAGACCGCGACAATTCCACTGTAAGATGAAAGACATTTAGTGATGAAGGGATCCATTCCCACCGGTTGATGGGAATCGCCCGAACGAAACAGACCTAGGCCGTCCCATCGCCACCCTCACCGGTGGACGGGACCGGCGGTCTTCGTTCGGGCGTGTTTCGACAGGTGTTGTGGTGGGGGAAGGGGAGGTGATGTTTGTGTGGTGGCCAGAGGGTCCGGGCCGCCGACTGTTCATAGCCGGGGGGCTAGAACGCCGGACGGCCTGACCCGCGCGTGAATCACTCACAGCCGGCGGGCTGGAACGCCGGCCGACCTGGGGACAGGGGTGCACGGGCGCCTGGGCATCCGAACGTCCAGCCAAGGGCGACTCAACGGCATTTTTCGTCTGGGTCTGCGTAGTTGACTCAACTGAAACCGAGGGGCGAGGGTTGAGAAGTTTCAGAGGAGGCAGATGGGTGATAGGGTCGGTCTGTGTTGCACATGTGGCCATCGTGGCTTTTGCTACCTGTTCATGTGTTTTGCTGGACTGCGACGACATTTTGGATTCAACAGTGCGCCGTGCCTCGGGGTACGACACACCTGTCCCGGCCTTTTCAGACCAAATTTCATTTTCTTTTTCCGTGTGGGACACCGAGAAGAGTTGGCGGCGTGATCACCACTTCCACAACTCGGCATTCCTGGGGTGATATGCAGGCAGACCCCTCGTGAGGAGTCTCGCCGCACTTCAAGCATCTGGCACTCTGTTTGCAGTACTTGCTGCCGTGTCCGAACCGTTGACATTTAAAACACCTGAGTGGATTTGGAATGAATACTCTTACTTTATAACGAAGGTAACCAGCGGTGAGCGAATCTGGAAGTCGGGTGGTACCAAAGGTGATAACAAGCAGGCTGGTGTCGTGACGCTGGACCATCTCTGAAAGTCGTCAGCCGACGGACATGGCAAACTTGCTCATCTCTGAGCTCCGCTAGGATCTCGTCCTCCGTCATGAAGCGGAGCTCAGGCGCGAAGATGGTGCCCTTACTGGTGTTTTCTGGCATGGTGCAGCGAGACGTTGACTTGTTTGCCGCAAAATTCAGCTGTTTTGAGTAGGGCCTTGGTTTGCGCGCGAGTGGTTGTTTTGATGATGAGTGATCCGTTTGCTGGCGCTTCAATCTGGAGTTCGCACGGGCCGCAGATAGCTTTGATTTGCTTTGATGGCCAAAAAACGTTGATCTTTCGAAACGACACATTTTCGTCACAAGGTTGGACGACAACGTACGATCCAAGAGCATCCAGGATTGGCTCAGAGGGCTGGCGAACACTGGTCGTTGTCGAGCGAGGGTCAGCATCAGGGCGAGCGGGCACCGGAGTGGTCAAAGACGAGCGAGTGTCGGAACTGGTGGCGTTGGACGGAGACGAAGCCCGTTGTCCACCCACCGCGGTGGAAGTGTGCGTACGAACGGTCATGGCCTGGGGCGCGCGAGGGTCATCAGGTGAGGTGGCAGCAAAAGCGGGGCTGGCGATACTTCCATCGTCTACGTCCCGGGCATTATCGAGGTCAGAGGCCGAGCTCGAGTCAGTGTCGGTATCACCCTTCTTACGTTTGGTTCGCTTCCCCATATCAGGGGAGCGAGAAGAGAACAAAAACTAAACGAAAAGGTGTGTTTGGAGCTAGAGCGGACGGAAAAGTGGCGAAATCGACGATGCGAAAAAAGGACTCCTTGGCTAAAGAGCCGCAAATGGAGCAAACCACTTGCTGAGATCGTGTCAGATGGGTCTTCGGCCACCGAATCGAATGACGAAAACCTATGCCTGTCGTTGAGCCCACGCAACTGCATGCGCTACACAATGTGAACACATTGGACGTGATTGTAGTGTTTAATAATATAAGACATGTAATTGAATAAAATCAGAAATAGCGCCATAAGCGAGCATGTAAATACAAGCAAACATCCCTAAACTCAATGAGAAATTGCAAGAGCATCCCAAGAAGCGGCCAGAAACACGAGCATATAACGATATTTGGGCTCAGCGAACACTTCCATGACCGACACTGCCATCTCATCGGCGAGGTTAAGCACTGACATGAACGCCATGGTGGTCATTCGCACGGCTAGTTTGGCAGCACCTCAACGCCATGCAAGCGCTTCATCGCGCAAGCGAACAATGATGTATTGAGCAGCATATTAACTAAAAAGAAAAATGGTGTTGTCTAGAGCAGTCTCTTCCACTTAAAAGTGTACCGATAGTAAAACGTGAGCTTTTGTTGACACATCTGATGCTTGCCTCAATATCTTCATATGTGGAGCATTCCTTTCAGGAGCCAAATCTTGGCTCAAATGCCTGCAAGGAATGTCGAATTCTTTCAACGCGGTTATTTTTCCCGTTTGTGATACGCCCGACATCAGCCAGTCGTCCTTAAAAGCACAGGAGCTCACACGAAACACAGCTTCATCTACTATACATTTTCCCACCGTCCTGGAACTTCCCTGCTCACCATGTCGAGTGGCTGCTACGTACTAATCTCCCTGGCGCTCTCTTTTTATCCTGGCAAACTGGCGCGAGTAGCCTCTTGATCAGTCCAGAATGCAATAGACGGGTGCGGGCATCTCGAGTATGGCGGAAGTCTGTGGGGACAGCTGCGTCTCCCCGCGGCGGCGGGGAAGGGAGGGGGAAGGGGGAGGGGGACATTCCACACTAAGATGATGCCTCCTAAATGCGCAAATCCTGCAAGTGCACTGGGTCGCGCGGAGCTACACCAGCGAAGTAAGGCTAGCTCCGTGCCTCGCCTCATCGCGGCGAAGAGTAGACAACAGCCAATTTAGCAAAGTGACGCGGTGCTAGCCCACCATAATGCACTTCAGGGCATAATGGAGCTGTCCCCTTCACCGTGACTCTGGGTGAGATAGTAGTAGATAGTGAGATAGTAGTAGATAGTTCACTCATCTCTGACACCACAAAATGTGCGTGCGTGCGAGCAAACGTGCGTGCGTGCGTGCGTGCGTGCGTGCGTGCGTGCGTGCGTGCGTGGGGACATGCATGCTTGTATGCGTGCGTGCGGGTATCCGCACGTGCACATACACTTCTATGGATACCGAATCATTGAATACCATCACCGCAAAATGCCGTGATTGCAACTTCCGATTCGGGGAACTGAAGACCGAAGTCGCAATGCGGCCACAATGAGCGTACCGTTTCGACTAGGTAGTCCCGAGACGCACATGTATGCGTCGCCTATAGTCTCGACCTTGTAGACATCGTATCGATCTATCCGGCTGTCAAACAGCTTGTACAGCACGTTAAGAAACGTCACAACCTGAAACGGAGAAGACGATGATGTCAGGGTCTACTTCCGCAGCCGCTGCTGATCCACGTTGATGTGCCACACGACCATACATTTATTTTCGGGTGGTTCACGTCAACATCATCCAGCGGCCGTTGTATATTTATCGTATTCGCCCTACTGATCTGGGCTGCTGCCTTAAGGTGGCAAGGCCTTGCGCGTACATGTCTGCCTCATGCAGCAGTTTACAGTCTCTTGTTCCGAATCTCTTTTATGTAAATCATCGAGAAATTCAACTGTTAGTCGGGGTCCGCCATACTTATAGCATATGATGTCATGCCCATGTAGGGTCAGCTTACAACAGCTGACCTAAGTGATTTTGTTAAACCGGTTTGTGATAGATAACTGGGTCTAAATGACGCATTGATAAATCAATGTCAGTAAGACATTTATGACTGCACTATGTAAACCCATTTTGCCCCTTCCGTTTCTACAGTTTTATTGCCAAACGCTTTTATGTATTCGGGTTCTCGTTGTCATAGAGGCTTTACGACGCACTCAGCTGCTGGGACTATATGGTGTTGCCTGCCCCACAGTCTGGCAGGACGGGCGGGAACCACGGAATATTACTTGGAGTTATTGAGTGAGGCGGAGCCGAGTCCAGTAACTCGGAGAAATTACATTGCGAGACCATAAAACGCTTGAGTGTGGAAATGTCGCGCGCGATTATGATAGTAATCAAGCCATTAGCACTACGGCTACACGGAAGCGTAGTCAGTGTAGGAAAATGTGATCGATCAGTCCAATATGCCTAGCATCTCAAGTTTTGCAGTGGGCCTAGTAAATGAGCAAGGACAGGTGCGATCTGGACGATGATATGGGCAACAAGAGTAAAAACGGTCAGGTCATTAGCACGGGCGTTTCACGCTGTGTATACGCCTGTTGTGTTCAACAATCAAAAAACTTGACTGTCCTGTTATGTGGTTTATACATGGACAGCATCATTCCTTTAATATATATATATATATATATATATATATACACGAATCGTTTGGGCATGAATCAAGTTGGTGTTCTCCAGGGCAGGTTGTCACCTTTATGGCTGGTGTACCATCGGGCCGCACCTAGGTAGCGTGCGTTAATATTACGTAACGGCACTAGCCTCGTTACGGGATCATTACCGCCGGCGCCAACTGGTCTAATCTGGACAGTGCTCCGGCGGGCGTCGCCGCGGCTGGGCTGTAGCAGAGGTGAGCCGGAAAGCGGCGCATGACGAGCGGGCGACCGCGTGGTTCGCACCATATGGGGAACAGCGGGGCAGCGGCCGGCTCACTTGACCAGTGACCTACGGGAAGCGGCGCCATGCCAGGCGGTGGCTCGGCAGCCTCGGATCGGTCCGGTGTTGGCGGTGTCGGCGGCGGACGGCCATATTCCTATATGTGCTCACCATCGCTCGACACACTATGACAAGTGTTTCTTGAATCATTTGTGGCTTACTCGTCGTTGTGAAAGGCTCAGATGGCTGGATCCTCATGGCAATGCCTGTAGTCTATAACTTGGAACTAAAACAGAGATAATCTTAAAACAGACAAACTCTTAAATTTTTCACCGGTTTAGTCTTAGTAGAATTTCACTTTCAACGCTTATACGCATACCTTTCCCGACGCACCACCAGCTAGACGTTTCTAACCATTGGCTATGAGAAAAGTGATGCTTGTCGTTTGTCACTCATTAGCTGTGCTTGCCTACCCTCAGCGGCGTATTCATGACATCGACGACCTTGGCAGGGTGTCCTGTGGCCATACGTGCAACAATGGGAACCCACTCATGTCCCATCAACTAGCGTTTGCATTCTGGAAGAAAGGAAAGAAAGCGTGAAGTGAACACCCAGTGAAATTTCAGTGGCACGCCATCTAATTTTAGTTTTTTTTTTAAACGGTGCTCGATAACGGTTTCCTGGAACAACCGTCGCACACTATTTCGCCGGTGATCATTTTGTCAGTGTCTTGAGATTGCTCGTTGTTTGTAGCCATCCAACGACAGGCGAACAGAACGAATGCAGCCTCCCGTGGGACAGCTATTGTCCGTGGCTTGCTAGCCGTCCCAGCACCTAGCAGCTGGGCCAGCGCCAGGTGTACCGCAGCCAGGAGCAGGCCGACTGTCCCGACCACAGCCGAGAGCAGACCGACTGCCCCGGCTACAGCCAGGAGCAGGCCGACTGCCCCGGCCACAGCCAGGGGCAGGCCGACTGCCCCGGCCACAGCCAGGGGGCGACGACTCCTCTCCCCCCGAGCCAAGAGCAGGCCGACTGCCCCCGCCACAGCCAAGAGCAGGCCGACTGCCCCCCCCCCCCCGAGCCAAGAGCAGGCCGACTGCCCCGGCTACAGCCAGGAGCAGGCCGACTGCCCCGGCCACAGCCAGGGGCAGGCCGACTCCTCCCCCCCGAGCCAAGAGCAGGCCGACTGCCCCCGCCACAGCCAAGAGCAGGCCGACTGCCCCCGCCACAGCCGAGAGCAGGCCGACTGCCCCCCCCCCCCCCGAGCCAAGAGCAGGCCGACTGCTCCGGCACAGCCAAGAGCAGGCCGACTGCCCCCGGCCACAGCCAAGAGCAGGCCGACTGCCCCCCCCCCCGAGCCAAGAGCAGGCCGACTGCTCCGGCCACAGCCAAGAGCAGGCCGACTGCCCCGCCACAGCCAAGAGCAGGCCGACTGCTCCGGCCACAGCCAAGAGCAGGCCGACTGCCCCGGCCACAGCCATCTTACCATCTCCTTTTGGTATCTTACCATCTGTTCATCTTAGTCTCTGAGCACTACAAATGCCACTCATGACCATTTTAAGGCCAAAGATGCCCTGAGAGGCCATTACTTGCGACAAGGCTCCACGAGATCCCGGAAAAAATGTGATCTGTGGCGGACATTTAAGGGCATCTGAAATGTTTTACATTTCGTAGCACACAAAGCTGTTGAGATCAAATCATTCTGTTCGTCATGTGCGTCAGAACACATGCTTTTATTAGAGCTTCAAAATCGACTCGATCTGATAAAAGTGGTTGAAGTGCAGAGAATCTAAGGACGACTAAGCACGTTTCATCCTCATTACCTGTAGCCATAACTTCAAGTGGTTCGGTCTTCGGTCCTTTTGTGCCAATTGTTTCTGTAGGTTCTTTGGTCCTATTGTTTCTATAGTCTTGGTTTGGTCGACCTTCTCAAATGATGGGAATTAAATGAAACACATCGGATTTCTGCTGTCGTCGGGGGAGGGGGGGGGGGGGGGGGCAATGCTAACGTGCATACAGAAAACAGTGGAAACTTACGTGTACTGAACTGTATCTGAAAAGGATCTGCTTTGAACTAATTGAACAATGAAATCTCAGAGCTCGCTCCACCCGATTTATGCTCACGCCCGTTTCAACGTACTTCAGTCATAACGCGAGCGCACCGCTACTCACCTGCATGGGAGAGCTCTGTGACGAGATTTTGGTAAAGCCCACGATGTCGCTGAAGTAGACGGTGACAGATTCGAAGGACTCGGCAGGTACCTGTCCTTTTCCCTTCAGCTGCCTGGCGATCGGCTCCGGCAGCATCTGGTACAGCAAGCGGTCCGTCTTTTTTTCTCTCGCGAAATCTCCATGGTTTTAGCTGCCACCATCTCGGTGAAATTCTGAGGGAAAGCCATTGACGTGAGGTTGTAGGTTTGCAGGGGGAAGAAATGCATGAAACTCAGCCCGGTTAAAAGGATTGTACTAGTTTGCTTAGGCGTCAATATAGTTTAACTCCGCGTAAAGGTGGTGCTAAAAGCATCTCAGCTGACATAGATGGGCGATTATTTTTCATGAGCCCAATAGTCTCCTATGTTGCACGCTACATGTAAACTTCAAATAGCCAATACAACTGACTGATACAATGGACAAAAGAGAGTCTTTGATGAAAGTGCAATCTGAGCATGGACCGAACCAGACGTGGTTTTGCTAACTTGGGAGCAGGTGTCAAACAGCATGACGTACCATAGCTGCACTATGCAATACCGCTGCACATCGACAGCGTAAGCAAAGGAATGTAAAGTCGCCCAGATTGCAGTTTTTCATTTTCTCCAAGGATTTGCACCATCTTTTAAGGGTAAGCCGATTGTCATCAAAAAAACGGCTCAACGACGTGATACTGAGCAATTGGCAAACGCCTTGCTGTGAAGAAGGAACCGATCTTTTTTATTTGACTTTTACCAACGTCATGATTCCTGGAAATGTAAAAACTGGCATTGTAAAACAGCATTTCAGCACCAATAAATGCAGCCCAACGTATACTCTGCGGCAGTTCCACTGGGTTTTTCATAGCAACGAATATTAGATAAAACGATGCAAATATATCACCGCGTAAGGATTGAACAATCTCGAGCCTCCCCCCCCCTCCCACCCCCTAAGATTTTCTGAGGATATTTCTCCAACATTTGGTGTAAACGCGCCCAAATTCAGACGTTCCTTGAGTATGTTTTTACATGTAAAACGTGACTCCGACTCTAGCATGTCTGGTTTCCGAATGCCGACGGTTTTTAGGGACACTACACGGCGATCCACGGCTGGCGCGTGCGGCGGGCGGCGGCCGATGAATGCGCCGATCGGGGGCGACGGACCGACACTGTCACAGAAACGGAGCCCTGCATTAAAATAGCTGTTCGAAACATATAAAACAGGGTACAAAATGTGCTCAGAAGTAAGCAAGGAACATGTCTGTGCAAGTTGCGTGCTTCTAGGTGGCATGATTTCAAAAATAATGGCACGTAAAGCTGAAATAGTGCAAAGCTTAGGAAAATTTTCCTCCGGACGACATAATGATAATAATTTTTTTAGAAACATCAAGCTTAAGAACAATCGTAAGGTCTCCTTGAGATCAATGCACCGCTTTTTCGCGAGGCTCTTTCTTTTTTAGGTTGAAAACGGTGAGGGGATGGCATCGGCCCCCCACCCTATTAGTCTGGGCTAGGATAAAGAAGGAGTCGGGGCAAGGGTTCAATCGGCATATATCGCAACTTTCTATGCTTCTACGTGAGCTTTAATGAGCATTCTGTAGTGAACCAGTACTTGCGCAACTTACCTGCATGGTCAAGGCAATTTTGCGCACGAGCAGAATGATGATCGGCGAGACAATAAGCACCAAAACTAGCAGCATGATTGCCACCAGTTGCTGGCCATACGCTCTCGACACCTGGTCCTTCACGTTTGTCCTGCAGGATCAGTGTTACAACGTTACAATACCGCAAGTAAGATAGGCCACCATTACGCGTCTTGGTACTGCCAATTCTGCATCAGACGTTTTCCAATGATGGTAACAGTTTCATCCTAGCATTGTTTTCCACTCAATTTAGTTCCCGTACGCGAAGGGGAATTACTTAGACTATTTGGTGAATAACTTAGTTAGGATAACCTTGCCATAAGAAAATAAGCATTGAAAAGGGTGAAGCAAATCAATGCATCTACAACCGGTTAGGCCTTCCAGATTATCTTCCATAAGTATGAACAGAAAGCTCTGGTTCAGAAGAGTAATTTTTGCAGCCACAGCACATTCGGATAACCTGAAATATTACCAGTTTTGCTCGCTGCCCTATGCCATAATGCAACGCTCCAACAAATTGCCATAACAGAAGCACCAATAGGTGAAACCCGCCCAACCCCGGACGAACTCAGGCGTTTGCTAACATAGAGGCGCGTTTGCCTCAAATGCAGTGCCAGTGTGCCGTAGTCTATTGGCAAAAAATTTTGAGAGGGCTTGGAATGAGGAGGTACACAATCGAGCATTGAAGAGACAGGACCAAGCACACGGCATTCGACTGAAATGTGTTTTGCGTGGCAACAAATCTTGGTCTTAAGCATAAGAGCGTAGCATGGTGATGCCTCAGTTTGAAAGCAGGTTCCTGAGCTTCATATGAGTTCAAGAGTAGAATCGCGTATTGATGTCTCTGAGCACATCTGAACGCTTAACTAGACTCACGTGATCATGTTCCTAAGCTCCACCTGGACATCTCGCAGAAGATCTGCCATTGTAGTTCCATTGACGAAGAACTCAATGGCGAATTCTGGAGACCCATTTCTTGGCTCGTTGGTGAGTATCTTCTCACGTCTGCAAGGTTAAAGCCACCTATAAGGAACAACAACAAAAGGCAAAAATACTCGCCGTCCTATCACAATAAAACTAGTTATTATCAACCTGTGGCTTGAAAATTGCTACGCTTAATATGGCTGTTCCCAGTAGTTTGGTAAGCACTTATTTCGATTGAGTCGACATGGACACATCGGCATGGATTGTTAATGCTTAAAGCGGTCATTATTTCTAAAAAGAATACGGCGATTCCGAAACTTTCAAAAGTAAACGTACTTTGTAATTAACCTTATATTTTGTAACTAAAAGCCTTAACTTTGTGATGCTTTGTTCTATTTTGTACCTACAGAAATCCTCAGCAAACTAGTCGGACCACTTCAGTACTACTTCATCGCAACGGTAGCAGGCCTGACTGCGTGATGAGTAAAAACTAGCCTGCCGATACTCTTAAAGGACACTTTTACGTTTTTACTTCTTCCGATCAGTTCTTTGAACATTTAACTCTTCGAACTATTTTTACGGTTAGTTGAAGCCGTAAATGCTTAATTAAGATACTCTTGCCACAAGAAGATAACTATTGCTTGCTTGATATCTAACTTATCTTTTGCTTGATATTAGCCAGAAAGGCCTTGATCTCGCCGCTTTAGCATAATGAATTTTCATACAGGACATAGCCAGCCCCGATGAAAACCAACCCGTTTTATTACTCTGGAGCTTAATAGATGAGATAGTTTTTGGTGCTCATTGCGAATTTATTGATAACAGGAACCGCATGATGCATATTATATGGATTCTTTGAATTCAGGAGCAGTAAACGACCTGAAATGTCCCAGGTCAATATTTTGTTTTAAGAGCACGCTGTCTAGCTATATTTAACGCTTATTCAGATGCAAAACTCAAGGCTGTCTAGTATACTTCCGTCCATGAACTTCAAAGGTCAAACCAAGGTCCTTAACCTAAATGAGCAACAAGG